GCCATATTTCAAATGATTTATCTATTTGAAACCAGAATGAAACGTGATTTTAGAAAGGAAATCTCATTAACACTGCTTCGTACGATAAGCCTCTTAATTGAGAAGAATTATGGCCATGTTGTTATTAAGAAATAGCGTATTAACACTGCTTCGTACTATTTTGTTTTTCATTTAAGAACTGTTTATAATATTTTCGTTTTTCATTTAAGAACTGTTTAAAACTTAAATTTTGTCACAATGAAGTTTAAGAACACCTTTTTATGTCAATATATTTTTACTGAATTTATAATAAAGACCAACCAAATTTTTAAAAGAGATTTGTCCCAAATTTAGAAAAGAATATACGTGTTTTTTTGAATTTTTTTTAACACAAGACAAGTAGTAATATACAAATCAAAACATTATATATGTTTTTGTCGTTTTTCTATAGCATTCATTATATAAGAGTTGGAGAACTATATTGATCTCTTTGCTCCCCTTTAAAAAAACAAAGTTTATAAAGCTTATATATATATGTTTTGGGTTAGTGTAAATAGTAATGGATTAATCGACTTTATTAATATTATCTCAGCATTAATGCATCTTTTTACATTAATATTATCTCAACATAGATTAATAGATTGACATTAAATCAGATGATTAATTATTCGGAAGCTATCTAATATTTAACAAAGACAATAACGAATAAATTTGGTCTGTAGAAAAGTGGTTAAAACATACACTTAGAGATTTTTTTAAATCGTGGATTTAGTCAACATATTTTATCACAGTGGATGAGTTACCTTAGATTTAGTAATAAAAAAATACGGTGGAGATTAAGTTAACCTCAAAATATATCATTTATTTATAATTTAACATATACTTAATTTCATTAAAAAAATTCATCAGTTAACAATATGTATATATATCTTAACCTACCTAATTAAAACAATGTTATATTTCACAATAAAATTTAAAGTTTATTATATACCGAGAATATCGTGGACAGTCACTTAGCGGGGGTTATTGAAGGTTATTAGTTCTTGTATTTTAATAGATTTGAAAATTTCATAGGATTTGGAAATATTTAAAAATATGAGGGTTTTA